ATAAGCACCAGGTGTTTTGTAAGGCTTTTGGGTAGTTGGACACTGCTCTTGAGCTGTGTAGATCCAGTGGTGAAAATGAAAATGCAGTCAGTAGGTGTGCATAGTAATGCTTGCTCTTTTGATATTTTAGGGAGAAGGATTTTGATAGGGTAGAGGCATCTAGGTGTTCTACACCTGAAGATGGTAACTTTTTGTCTAGTTTCTCAAGTGGAGAAACTCTTAAATCTCTCTAAAATGCTGCTAACTGGGTAGTTAATAGCTGGAGCTCTGTATTTTAGGGGATTTTTGGTGTGGAAGTCCCCTTCAGAGCTTTTCATGACTTGCATTAGTTACTTCCTTTCCAACGGAGGGTCTTTTTGCAGATCTTTCTCATAACCTTATTAATTAACACAATGGGCTTTACGCCGGAGAGCCGGGGGTGGGTTCTTGCTGCAAGGCAGGGTGAGAAGGGTGGGCTGGGGCATCTTCCCTGCCCTGCTGGAGCATTTGCATTGCCCTCTGGTGGCAAGTGCCCCGGAGCCGCTGGCTACCGGCTCTGCTGGACCTTGTGCCCCGTGTTCCCGGGGGACATCCACCCTCCCGGCAGCAGGACCGCGCTTAACCATCATCGCTTTTCAGTCTGGTTTTAATTCAGCAGAACCATGACTCTCCTAATCCACAACCATGAGTTAGCATGAAGACCTGAAAGTGAAGCTGATACGATATAGGAAGTGAAACGAAACTGATAGTTCAAGATGCATTATTGAAATGATGTTTTGAAATACATAGTCCAAGATCTAATTGTAGCTCTCTAATTATTTGCAATTAGACTTGCCTGAAGGTTTTTGTAATGGTTCAGGGACATTAATGGTTTCAGAAACTTGGTGGAGGGAACAAAATAGCAAACAAAGGCACCGAAAATTAGATCATCTGTTCTTTCAGCTTTATATGCAATTCATTTCTTTCCACCAAATAGCTTTCTCTTTATATCACGAATCAGTGGTCGGGCTACATTTCAGTCATTTAAAACGACCCCACAGCAAAATATGAGCATGTGTTAAATGCTGGGCTGCCAGCCTGCCAAGAATTAATTTCTGCATTAAATGCTGTTGTGTTCGTTTCTGTGAGTGATGAAAGGAAGCGGTGTGTGTGCACACACGCCCTGCAGTCCCCTCCCGAGGGGCAATACCTTGCAGACAGTCTGCAGCCTCTCTTTGTTCTCCCCATCCCCAGCGCTGCTGGGGCCAAGGGGGTGAATTCCTGCGTGTGCCTTCCCCGGGCCTGCTGCCCCTCTAATTGTCCTGTTGTCAGAAGGCGTGTGCCTCCCGAAGCCTTATCAGATTCCTCCAAAACCTTGCAAGCAGTTCAGGTGTTGACCCCTTGAGCGCAAACAACTCTGCCTGCCTTGGGGCAGAGCTGCGAGACCGGGCTTAGAGCTGGTGTGTGCAAACCCGGTGGCTTTGTCCCCAGGATGGAGCACCTGCCTGCCCAGGGGATCATGGGGCCAGGGACTGTGAAAGGCTGGTGGGACTCAAGCAGCAGAAGGGGAGTCCGACAGCTGCTTGTGTCAGCATGAGGCTAAGTGCAAGGAGATTAATAGTTATTTAAAGAGCAAATGGGGACACGGCATTCGCCTGTGGCATGTGAGTGTAAAAATGCAGTGGAATGGCTGCTCTGCTGATAACATTTAGACAGATGGTCCCTGGACTGAAAGGAATGAAAAGGATCTTGGAATATCTTAAGGATATCTTACATTTTAATGGGGCACTTATTTTATTATTTTTGTTTAATTGGATCCCAGGCAGCACCTTCAGCATTTCCAGGCTGTGCTGTCTTGTTAACACCGGCCGCTTGTTTGGCCATCTTTCCCCATTAGTTTAAGTGGCCTGGGATTAGAGAAACAGTTTTTAAGTGAAAGCTGAAACACTATTGTTCTGCTGTCTGTATGTCTGAGCTGGTGTAGGAGACTGTTTTCATCACAGCTGTCTTCTCATCATTTGCTGGTTAGGGAGTGTGTCTGATTGTAATCTCCATGAGGAATGAAACAATTGAGTGATACTTCTACATTTCTGAGAAGTCTTCAGGTCTCACTAGAGCCTTCTGGAGCAGGAGGGTTTGTTTTTTGTTGAAATGCAGAATTATTGAGCAGGTAAGACTCTTCCTGGCACAGTGTATCAGAATTCTGTCTCTTTCCATACAGAATTAGCCTCAAGGGAAGACGTGTACCAAAAGTCCGTTAAATAGGTCTTGATTGAGTGAATAGCCTGCAGGAGATGAGACATAACTGTCATCTGTGTTGCCCAAGCTGCAATCTCCTTTTGGAGAAGAAGAACCAGTCTGGATCGCTCTCTTCCCCATCAACTATTTAGCTTTGAGTCTAATTAAATACAAGTTCTCCCATCTAACAGGGATGCTGGGTACTAATAGCATCCACACTGCTCCAGAGGGGGAAACTGAGGCAAGGAGGGCAAATGACTAACCTGAGTCACTGGTTCACCCAGGATTAGGACTCAATATGTAATTGCTTTTATTACTCTGCTGCCTGCAGGCCTGAGACAAAGGAGGCCCATTAAGTGCAGGGCTTTTTACATGGTGAGGAGCAATCCCTGCCCTGCAGACCTTGCTGCCTGCAGTAGGGTGAGGGTGGAGGGGGAGGAGAGGTGCCTTGCCCAAGGACACAGCAAGTCGCTGACAGAGCAAGGGAGGGAGGGAACCAACTCTCCCTTCTCTCTGCAGCCTAGCCCAGCTCCTAAAATGTAGTTTTCTGTGCTGTTGCCCCCTGCCCAGACCTTCAAAGCACAGCTTCTAGTAGTAGCAAGCTGATCCATCTCTGGAAGGTCCCATGGGCCTCACTGAAGATCCCAGAGCACCAGCCTCACCCTGAGTGTTTAATGAAACCCCCTGAAAATATTAGCTTCTTCTAGTGAAATAGAAACTTAAGGAAGAGCTGTAGTGGGTGGATTAAGTTTCTCTACTTTGGTTCTGGAAATACAACTGAGAGTGTGAAATCTTTGGGCACATGGAAGGCACTTCATCCTTGCAAAGGGACCAGCCTGTTTTCCTCTGTGGCTGAAATGACTGGGAAAGCTGGGTGTTAAATGGCTTGTCCAAAGTTCCCAGGAGAGCTCAGCAGATAGGTTGTGCCGTTCCCTTTCAGGTCTTTGGAGGAGTGATGTGTTACTCAAAGCTTCAGTAGGACTGCTGGGATTCCCAGTATTGAGAGAGCACCAACCTCGAGATCCATAACAAAAAGCTGACTCAGGGAGCCTTTGCTTCATGGCTGATAAGAGGAATAACTGTTGGAAAGATGAGGGAAGTTGTGAGCAGACTGGATGAAATACTGACAGATAGGTGAGCCTGATCACTCTGGGTGGGACTGGAGCTGTAGGATGTTGAGGAACATGATCTGCTTGGAGCCTTGGATAAGAGGAAGAGCCTGAGTCCCTTCTGCTGTGTCAGCAGCTAACAGCAGAGCCAGGTGCCTTTATTGCTGCACGTTCTTGGCTGAGCCCAGAGCTGCTGGGAATGGGCATCACAAACCTTTGGGAGGCTGCTTGCCCTGAGATGGGCACAGTTAGTGCCCTTTGGACACATGCAAGGATGAGGCTGTGAACCTGATGTGACTGAATCCCACTTGTCTGCTGCCTTGTCATGCTTGCCAATGCCATGTCCTTTGGAGGATTAAAAACAAGTGGCAATTGTGTAACTTTCTCCAGATTACTTTCCCAGCTTCCAAGTGTCGGTAGTTCAGAATTTTAAAATCAGATACACTTGTCTTGATGGATTTTTCTCAAGCAGAACTTGTCTCCTGCCTCTTTGAACTTAGGCTTTTAGTATTGTGACATTTTTTGGCAAAAAAAAATCTATGTTTATTTGTGGGTTTTGTGAAAAATAACTCTATTGTGAAGAATAACTATGTTTAAGCCAAAATTCTCCTCAAGATGGTTGCTTATTCTCCAGCTCCTCTTTTAAGAAAACATTAATTTTGTATTTGTTCTTTTTCCATGTTGTCTAGGAATTTATCCCCTTCTATCATAGTGAGTTCCACCTTTCTCCTCATGGTTGTTTTTCCAGGCTGAAAACTTGTCATCTACTGCTATGTTACAGGATAGCATTAAAAGGATTTGCTGCTTCTTGTCATCTTCCTCTAAACTGTGTTCCCCTCTTATCTCTTTGAGGTGGAGAAGCACAGCTAAACATGGAATTTAGGGTATTAGATTTTTTTCCTCTGTTAACCTGTCCTTAATCTACTCTTCGACTTTTCTGTATGCTATTCTCAAATAATTTTGGTTTTGATGGCTCCCAGTTGTTTCATATATTGTTTGTACTTGAAGGCCACTTAAGTAGCACTGAACTACTACTAGTTAACTACGCTTAACTGTACAACTGAGTTCTTAAGCATGAGAAGCAGCCCTCCATGCTGTTTCTATTCTGCTTGATGAGAACTTTAATTCTCTTCCACCATCTGTGACTGGTCACTGGGAGTTGAATACATGGTGCAGATAGGCTGGTGGCACCTAACTGTTTTTCAGCGAGTCACATTTCAGCACAGTTACTATCTGAGTTAGAGGTCCTAATGTCATCCTGTGTAGCAGGATCAGTTTTTATGTAGAGCATGAGGTTGATGAAGATGGTGTAGCCTTGTATAAGTTAGAGCCAATTACACTGTAGTGAACCTGCTGATTTTTATCAGGTTACAGCAGTACCTCTGACTGGATGTTGCTAGACATAGCGAGCCTGTCTCCCTGTGAAGGCTTTCTGCCCTGCACATCACCTCCTGGTTATGCACAGGCTCTTTTCCCAGCTCTGCTGCTGATCCAGCGTGTGACTGTGAGAAGCTGTACTCCTTTCTGTTTCGGTCACCAGTGTGAGGGGGATATCCCTTGTGAATCTCCCGCCTGGTGTGACATGTGCAGCGGTGCTGAGATGATGCTGTGCATCCTCCGTGGTGGAGGCTGTGCCATGTCTGGCCAGCCTGTGCTGATGCGGCTCCTCTAACGCTCCTGTGCATCTCTCTGCAGCCGCAGTACACGAACCTGGGGCTCCTGAACAGCATGGACCAGCAGATCCAGAATGGCTCTTCCTCCACCAGCCCTTACAACACGGAGCACGCACAGAACAGCGTCACGGCCCCCTCGCCCTACGCCCAGCCCAGCTCCACTTTTGATGCCCTCTCTCCCTCCCCAGCCATCCCTTCCAACACAGACTACCCAGGACCTCACAGCTTCGATGTATCATTTCAACAGTCCAGCACAGCCAAGTCAGCAACATGGACGGTAAGGGCACAGCATCCCTTCGCTGGCTTTGGTCCCCCTGCCTGTAGCGACTTTATTCGTGTAATGCATACCCAGGCTTGTGCAAGAACAAAGTGACCCGAGTCCTCTGCAGGGCGTGATGTGTCACACAGAAGGGAGACATTTATCTTGGTTGCTCTGAGAGGGTGTGGTGGGAATTTAACCCTCAGTAATACCACTAAATCCCAGGAGACTAAAATGCCTTGCAAAAAGCCAGTCACGTAGACATCATGCATGATGAACTACTGGCTCTCTCTTTTAGGCCTAGCAGGAGCACTGGAGTAAAACCCGAGGTGGGCACTAGTATTGCCTCAGTGCTTCCCTTGGCTTTGTTCAGCATCGGTGGGTTTGTGTGAGGTTTGGCATGCAGGGCTGTGCCAGCAGGCTGGAGGTGGTGCTCCTTGCTCAGACCCATGGAGTGTGAGGCTCTCATTGTCCCTGTGTCCTTCTCCTCTTGCAGCTGGTATGGGACCCCCAGTGTGTCACCAGCTCAGGTCAGCCCTGGGGGGTGTTTAGGGTTTCCTTGAAGGGGGTGGGGTTGTTTTATTGTGGAGTTTTGTTGTTGGTATGGTGTTCTGGGTTTTTTATTTAACGCTTTGCTGTCAGAACACTACTTTTCTTACCAAAAAAAATGTAGAAGCTTGAAACTTGAGGCCCAGCTCTTGATCTTTGGTGGCACTGGCTTGATTGTTCAAGCTCTAGAGATTTTGTAGCTTAGGACACAGCACTGCTGGAGCTTTAAATCCAGCTGCAGTGGTTTAGAGCAGAGATATTTACAATGAAGAATATTGCTGTCCTGAAGATGTTCAATATTTGCCTTCCTTTCCTGCAGGCACTTGGAGTAGATGGAGTGAATAATGTCCTGCCCCACACTGCTCGAATAAAAGCAAGGACTTAATTTTTATTTTTTTTTTAAAGCAAAGAAAGATAGACTTTTTACCAAAAGCTAAGACCATTAAAATAGTGTGGGTTTTTTCATTTTTTTTTTTTTTTTAATCTGAGGAACTGCTTTGATCTCAGATACAATCTAGCTGCAAAGGCAACTAAAAAAAAACCTCCCAGCTACTGCTGCCAGCAAAGCAGCAGAGCCCTTGTGCTCTTATCTGGAAAAAGATGCCATATAACTACAGATCACTATAAGGTTACATCCCTTATATTTTAAAAGCCTTTTCTGGTAAAATGTGTCTAGAACTGACATTAATAACTTTGTTCAGAAAATCGTGTTAAGTGAGGTTAAAATGTGATAGGTCCAGTCACAAACAAATTTTCATTTGTTTATGCATAAAAGGGTGAGATACTTTCAAGTGATGTTAAAAGTGCATTTTTTACTCATCAGCCTGGGGAGTGATGCTCTGCTGTAGTTCACCCTTTTTTTCCTGTCCTTGTTTCTCCTGTTACACTGCTCACAATATTTATTTTCAGTTCCCTGTAGGTAAGGAAACTGTTGGTCAGTTCTACTTTGTTATTCAGGGCAAGAAAATGCTGGTTTGGATTTTTGCTAGCTGTTCTGGAGAGGGTCCTTTGAAGGAGATATGAAAGACATTGTCTTTTGATACATATGGTACAAAGAATTCTCTAACGCAGCTGCAAGGAGCCAGAGTGTTTGATGCTGTCCTTTCAACTATGAGGTTTGAACATATGTAGTAGGTTATTCCAGCAGAGATGAAGGCGAGAGAGCTACTAGCAAGCTTAAATGAGATGTTTCACCTCAGTGATAGTGGCTTTTTGGGGTAGAAGTGAGGGCTGGATTTTAATGTGGATCTAGGTAGTGGTCAAAGCTCAGATTGCCTACTGACTTTGAAAAAGAAATTAAATTACTATTTGGTGACTACAGTCATCAGATGTGTGCAGCCTGGTGAAAGGCTCATTTAGCCTTCCCTCTTTTTCATTGCCCTGATGTGGATGAGCAGATGCAGGTGTATTCCCCGTGCATGTTGCAGAATGTTCAGGTGTAAGTCCATGTATTTTACTAAAGGAACGGGCTCTTAAACAGCTGTCTGATTAGGGAGAAGGGAGTGTGGTCCAGGTGTCCTTGCAGTGAGCCAAGTGACCCAGATTCAGCTGCTCGTGCAGGAGCTGGCAGTGTGCTGTACATTCACACTGGGTTATGACAGTCCTGTGGTGCTGGGGACCTTCAATCAATACGCCTTGCAAAGTAGAGCATCTATCCATCTTCAGAGCTCTGCCCTTCTGCTAATTAATCCACCAACTCGTTTCACATGAGCTCTTGAGCAGTTGGTAATCTGTGTTCGACAGCTTTATCAGTGGGGTGGGTGGGGAAGGACGTGAAGGCTCTCCTTCCCACTGTTGTCCTGAGAAGTGTGGAAACACGCATGAAATGTTGATGAAAGGAGGAGTGATTGCCCCATCCTCTCAGCAAGAGCAAGTTCTTGGAGTTGCTCCCCCCCATGTGACTTCATACACTTTGATTAATGCCTGTCGTCTTTTTTAATGATGGATTAGGAACTTACCCAACTGGAAGAGTTTCTTCCACTGCAGTGACCTATTAAAAGTTTAATTACTTGATGGCCCCACCCTTATTAAGAGTCCAAAACTTGAAAGCCTTGTTTCTTAGTTTGTTTGGTTTAGTTTTCTATTTTTTTTTTCCGTTTTCCATCTTGCAGTTACCAGAAAACAAAACTAAGTAAGGAAATCCATCGTGTTGCACTTTCCCCCTTTATGGAGGGGATAAGCTAGTCTGACTCACCTTGTCCTTCTGGGAAGGGGTTGGTGGTGCCTGGCAGAGGATCTGCTGTCTTGGCTGACAAGGTGCTTCACCAGAGCTCCTCCGAGCTTCTGGGCTGAGTCATGTCAGATTAGGTCATGGGAGTGAAGGCAGTGAGCTGGGTAAGAGGAATGGGTTATTTCTCCAAAAAGCCAAGAGTGTGTGCTGTCATGGAGTGACTGGAGACCTGTGAAGGTGCTTCAGGCTTCTAAGCCACTTTGTTAATTTAGATCTCAAGGTTACTTCCCCCACCTCCAACAGAAGTAGAGTACTTGCTGGTTACTTAAATGCTATGTTTCTGAAAACAGACCTGGAATCGTTTTTTGTTTTTTTTTTTTCTTAAAACATTTTGGTACTGTTTTTTTTTTCTCTTCCAAATTCTACAGTGGGGAAAGTTTATTGTGCTAGGACAGTGCAAAAATCAGCAGTATTTGTGTAATATAAGCTGGGAAGGAGATGAGTGTGACAGCTTCTCTGCTCAGGGTTCTGATGGGCTCCTAATTAAAGGACGGGGTGGGGGGGAACAAAAAAAAGGCCAAAATTACAAAGAGAGAGAAGCACTAGCTGATGCTAGGTGACAGGGTGATTCCATATGTATGAGCAGTTCACTTTGGAAATATTGCAAATTTTCTCTCTGAAGTCTTTCATGACCTTAAGTAGGAATTCCAGTAAAACATGCTGTCTAATCAGGTTAGGTCTCATTTGTATGCAATGTTGATCTAATTAATGATGACAAATTGAGATTGGATTGCAGAGGACTTTATAAGCATCCTTGATTATTTTTTTAATTAATGACCTCAGAAGGCGAGTAAGAATATAAGCAGGTTAATCAGCCTTTTCAGAAGGAAAGTCTTTAACAATTGAAACTATTGAAGTGTTTGAAAACAAAAGGCTTTATAGTCTAAATTGAACAAAGTTTCTCGCATGCACCCTCATACAATAAAACCTTCTTGAAAACCATGCTGTAAAGGAACAAGCAGTTACTGTTTGTAATGATGAGACAGAGTAGGTTGTTGAGGTTGAGGGAGAAACCCTCTGAATTGGATGAAGAACTTAAGCAGAATAGTGTCTCACTTGTGGGAAAATTCCCATATGCCCATGCCTTGCAGTATCTGCTCCTGGTTTTGCAGCAGAAGAAAAAAAGACATTTCAAAAGTGTGCCACCTCAGATTTTTTTTTTTTCTTCGTGGATGTGGTGTGCCTACCTTCCCCACCCACTCAGAGCTCAAATAAATAAATAAACAACTGCACTCCCTTCCCCCTAAAAAATATTTGGCAATCACCTGCCACTAGCAGAACCTGTTAAATGGGGGAAAGCGTGATTGCAGTAGGAAAGTAAATTAAAATTGTATGTCAAGGTAAGTAAAAGTTAACGTTACTGCCAAATGCAAGCTATCAAAAAAAGGATCTGATCCACCCATCCCCAAAAGCAAGATACCACCTTACAAGTCATGAGACTTTTTTAAAAGACAAACAGGTTCTTCTTATTCTCTCCCAGGTTTTTGAGCCTTTAGGGTGCATCTATTAAATATTTGAAAACTTTTCTTGATAGTCACAAGAAGGCAGAAATTGCTCTAAGTTTTTTTTTAATGAAAACTGAAATTTATTTGCAAATTTTGATTCTGCTGAAGAAAGACACCAAGCCCTGCAAGACTTGCATAATTCAGGTGCTGGCAATACCTGAGTTTAGCAGTTGATTCTCATGCCCTGCAGTAGGTTGGAGCGGAGCTGGGTTGGTCCTTTCAGGGTTTGTTATGAAATGTGGAGCTCTCCAAAGCTGCAGTCCGTGTTCCAGGCAGGCTCACTGGTTTGTTTTTTTTTTTTTCCTCTTCTCAGTAAACTCAGCTATACCTACAACCATCAGAAAGTTCTCAGATTTCAGACTCTCTTTGCTAGCAAAGCTGCATAATAGTGTGTGCGACATGCATGAAAACAACTAAGTGGATTGTGCTGGCTGGAGTTAGTGAATTTGGAAGAGCTGCATTTTAAGGAAGCTGAAAAGAATGCACTTAAATTAGTCCACACAAGCAATAACAGGTTTTTGTGGTTGAGAGAACAGATTCCTTGGCTGGGCTATCTCAGTATTTTTATTTCAGATTGATTCATTCCATTTTTATTTTAAATACATTCTGTGTTCTGATCCACTTAGTGTATTTGGGACTTTTTTGCTAATCTCTATAAAATGAATTCGAGGACTGTGCATAACCACAGTGAAGCAGTGAGAGGGTAATTAGATGTGTACATTGTCTTGGCTCCA